AAGAAGAAGAAGAAGAAGAAGAAGAAGAAGAAGAAGAAGAAGAAGAAGAAGAAGAAGAAGAAGAAAAAGAAGAAGAAGAAAGTTTAGAATTAAAATCTTCACCTACCGTCATATCTACCAAACCTTTGGGGCCCTTGATGCCCTGGAAAGAACAGAAACTTGAGTTTAAAATGCAAGATTTTGAGATCCAACACATTCTTCTACAGAGTTGGCAAAAGAGTCTAAGAAAACGTACCACACTACATAGGCCATCTTCTGTCCTTCACTCCCAGCCCTAGAGTTCTGTCTGAATCATTTAGGGAGAAAGCCCGAGTACCTAAAAGGTATATCCAAGATCTCTGAGTCCAGAAGATCTTGATGGACACACTCTTAGAGGACCAGGTCATTTTGAAACCATAGTTTAGGATCATATTCAGAAAAAGAGCTATCCAAGATCCCAGGACCATTCATCAATAGTTCTAAAGTAGACCCCAGTTCCTCCCTTACCCATTCTCTTCAGGCCACCCAGCATCACCCTTTTTCTGCCCTAATACCGAACAAGAAGTCTTCCCTGAAAACCTTCAGATTAGAGCTGCATGGCTCCAACCTCTTTGGGAGTCTACAGATCATTGTTCTTATTCAGAATCTACAAGGTGGTAATTTGTGACCTCAGGCAGGTCACTATATTCATTTCAGCCTTTGTTTTCTCTTCTGTAAAAATGGCATGAATGGTCCTTCTAGTACTAATATTTTTTTAATTTCTGACTTTGTTCCACCTTTCCAGTAAACCCTAAACTGCAGTGAGACCAATAGGTTCAATTCGTGGCTGACCTATTGTGCCATCCCTCATGATTGACAGTCCGGCCTCCTAGGACAAGGCACAGACCAGAAGGATTGCGTCCTCAAAGTATTTCCTTTTATATCAAATGATGTTCCAGCGAATTTAAAAAATGTTTGTGGGCTTTCAACATTGTTAGTTCAGTTAAGATTATATAAATATTATGTTTTTTTAGGCTTTTCTTCTGGTTTTTGCATAAATGTTGTTGTTCATCTTGTTTCCATTGATAAACTCACTCGCCAGTGAGTTTTATGCATCCTTTTATTTATTTAGACAGGTTCACAAATCTCCAGCCACTCCAATATCTTCCCAATGTTCAAGTAAAAATATATATTGAATAAATACACTGTATAGAGACTTGAAGTTAATACGCTTTAGGACAAATTTGCCCCATTCTCTATGACGATCCTCCTGTTTGTCCCAAATGTTCATTTCTTCTTTAGAGATTCCTCTTATCAAATCTTTATTCATTTTTATACAACAGTTGAAAACAAAAGAAAAAAGAAGGGTACATGTTACCATTTTTCCTGGTGGGCCTTGGTCACCTGGAGTTCCAACAAATCCAGGAAAGCCAGCATTAGCCTAAAAAATGATCATACCAGAAGAATAAGCTTCCTCCTTGATTACAACTATCAGATCCACTTTGATATGTTATTATTCCTAATGCCAATGAGTCTGATATTGACCAGCTAGTTTACAAACTGAATATCTGTGGGATAAGACATGGAGAATAGAAAGAGAGGGTAGTCTCTTTATGGGAACCATCCAAATCCACACCCCTATATACTCAACCTCAGTCATGCACATGTGTACACACACACAAACACACACGTCTAGACAGATCCTTAAAAGATGGCTCAATACACTCCATTGAGTCTTGAGGACATACAATAAAAAGAATGCAGGATGTCTGCATTAAGAGTCTGACATCAGAAAAAGGGAAAATTTTCTCCACCACCTTCTTGTTCTCAGTGTTTCAGAAAAGGCACATGGTGGCCATAGGTTTACTTCCAAATATTTGAAATGACACAGCATTATATAAATACAGTGGATCCTTTATCTTTTTTTATTTGAAACTAGAAATAAAAGTTAATTGACTAGAGCAACCATTGCCAGCAGCAAGTCAAGTTAGGCACAGATCAAATATTTCTTTATGTTCTTACCAGTGCATGAAAATACTAATTCTTAAGTAACTAGAAAACACTTTCCTTTCCTCTTTTCTGCAGTAAACCCTAGTCCATTTCCTAGAAGACCTTAGTTTCTCTTCTAGTCCATTTTCTAGAAGACCTTGGTCTATCAACTAAACATCACCAGGATGTTAGATATCCACAAGCTTACTCTTTTCAAAAAGAGCTGCCAGTGATTATGGCTCTTCAAGGCTGATTATTCAGAACCCAAAGGAATTGATTTTTAATCAGAGACTATGTAAAGCACAGTGGACTCAAAGTCCACCAAGATGGTAACAATATTCTCAAGAATCTTTTCTGAAAATAGCGGGAGAAAGTTAAGGCCTGGGAGAATCCTAAAGAAATAGCAATGTTTGCTCTACAGCTAAAACGATATCCTTCCAAATGACATCTAGACTTACCAAAGACAGAGTTGCTCCCAAACTTGGTTTTAAAAGGTTGGTATTGTAAAACCGAAACTCCCAACTTGGATTTTCTGTTGCTATGGCTTGGCAAACTGTATTTGTACTCAGAAGATAAATGGCAGTGGGATTAAGTGGGGAGTGGGATAGCCACAGGAGGGTGTGGAATGAGCATTGACTGAAGAGGAATGGGCTTCCTGCTAAGAAGTCCTAACCCAGCGGAAATGTGCTTCCGTAATGATGTGGGCTTCTATAGCTCCTGGGAAGTTTATTTAATTCTTACCCTCTTCCCTCTTACTCCCTTCACCCCCTTCTCTCCTGGACGGCCCGGGTCACCATCTTCTCCCTTAACAGAATCAAAAGCAGAACTCTAAGTGTAAAGAAATACAAGCATAAACAAACGACACATGCTGCCTACCAGTTGCCAGGCCCAGAAATATATCTCCTTACTTGTGCACCAGGATGGCCAGGGAATCCAGGTTCACCCTAGTGTCAGAAATGAGATGAGATCTTGTTTAATGATTAAGAAATTTCCTTGACATACCTTGGGGAAAAAGAAGACACTATAATTTTGAGGAAATAGACTCAAAACAAGAGCCAAGAAAAACAACTATAGCAACAGTTGTTATCTTGAGCTGCTCTCAAGTGGCCATATTTCATTTCTCTAATTCAACATGAAACAACTTGTAAATCACTTACAAATTCTCCCCCTCCTTAGTATATTGTGTAATGAAACTTCTTCCTTAAGGCATTTTTATCTCTCAGTTTAAATAACCTGAGGTTTAATCCGACAGAAACCAAGGGAGAGGGCACCACATTGAGTGCTGGGAAGCAGGTGCTCATTGTCAGAACCAAAGACACACTACAAAGCGATCATTCATTCAACAAATATCTATTTGAATCTATCTTCCAACTACTTCTCTAAGCACAGGAAATTCAGCAATGAACAGAACAAAGATCTTGCTCTTATGGAACTTATATGCTGGTGGGGAAGAAAATGAACAAAGAAATATATGTGAGAAAGAGATAATGTTATTCCAGGAAGGGGATTAAGAATAAAGGATTACATGTATCAAGGGATGAGGAGGCACTATTTTACATAGGTGGTCAGGAAAAGCCTTTTTGTAAAGGCAGCATTTGGGCAAAGACCAGCATGAATTGAGAAAACAAGCAGACTTATGGGAGAAGAGTATTCCAGGTGGAGAGAAGAGTATGTGAAAACAAACTCTGAAGTAAGAGGAGGAGTATGTGCCGCCATGTTTGAGGGAGACTGAAGCAGAGTGGAGGGAGGAGGGCAGGCAGGAGAAGGTGAAGTCAAAGAGTTTACAGAGACCATGTTGTATAAATTCTTGCAGGCCATGTTAACAGTGGGTTTTATTCTGAGGGACATTGAGAATGACAGCGGGACTTTGAGTAAGAAAATGACTTGATCTGACTATGTTTTTAAAGACGTCTCTAGCTGCTGCATGGAGAACTAACTATATGAGGCAAGGGTGGAAGCAGAGAGACCAGTTCAGTGGCTATTGCAGAAACACAGATGGAAAATTATATTGGCTTGGTCCAGAGGGTGGCAGTGCAGTTGTGAGACATGATAAAATGTCGGATGTACTTTGATGATAGACTTAACACAAGTGGTTGATGAATTAAATGTGGGAGTGAGAGAAAAAGATTTATCAATGACAGCTGCAAGTGTCTGTCTTGAGCAACTGGATGGTTGAAGTTTCCAGTCTCAGAGATAGGAAGGGCTGGAGGAGGGGCAGGTTGTTAAAGGAAACAGTTTTGGCTGACTGGATATTTAATAATATTAAAGCATGTTCTCACTCATAAGTGGGTGTTGAACAATAAGAACATATGGACACAGGGAGGGGAGCATCACACACTGGGGTCTGTTGGAGGGTGCTAGGGGGAGGACAGTGGGGGGTGGGGAGGTTTGGGAGGGATAACATGGGGAGAAATGCCAGACATAGGTGTACCCCAGAACTTAAAGTACAATTATATATGTGGATATATATATACATATAAAAGGATTATTATTATTCTTTGGTATAAGAATGGTATTTTGGTTATATTTTTAAACAATCTTTTAAAGATGCAACCCAAAATATCTGTGTATGGAATATATGATTATCTTGAAGTAAATTTTATATGTCACATGACCTACAGTAGGTGGACATATATAGAGGTTCTCTCCTCACTTCCACTTTCTTAATGAAATATGAAACATGTTCATCTGCTTTAAGTATGGACGACAAAGCAGATCTTGGAGGTTTGAGGAGACAGGAGGGGGTATGAAATTAGCATGGTGGGAGGATAAGTGAGTGGGAGTATAAATAAAACAAAACAAAATTCGCCAAGGGTTTTTCATTGTTTAGGTTAGGTGATGGATACATGGGGTGAGACAGGGGAGCATCATTATACTAGTCTCCACTTTTATTCATTGAATTTGTCTTTAATACAAGGTTAACAAACAAACAAAAACAAGAAGAAAGTTGTTTGGGGACACGCCAATTTTAAGATGCCTGTTAGATGACCAAATGGAAATATATTTAGAGTTTAGGATATTGGTCCAAGCTGGAGAAATAAAGTGGAGATAACAGGGTAGATGGTTACTGATGCCATGGAACTGAATTTCCCCAAGAAATGTCACCTGAGAGATGAGCAAAGAGGGAAGAGGATATAAGTACATATGAGAAGATATGAGAACAGAGCTTTGAGTACTTGAAGGTCAATAACATCCAGAAGATCTAGGAAAGCAGATGAGAAAGAGAAGCCAGTGAAAACCAGGAAAATAGACTGTGCTGGAAGTTGAATGAGGGGAAAGAAATCAGAAATAAACCCATGATGAATCTGTCAAATGCTGCTGAGAGATGGAACATAATGAGGGCAGGGAAGTAACCACTGGATTTAGCAACATAGGGTTTACCTCAACTAAAGCAGATATAGTTGAGTGGGGAGGGTCGAGGAGTGAAGGCTCAAGTGTCATCAGGTTTTCAGCCTCAGCACTACTGGTATTTTGGGCCTGATGGTTCTTTATTGGGAGGGGCTGTCCTGTGCACTGCAAGATGTCAAACAGCATCTTTACTCAGTAGATGCCAGCACCCTCTCCTTGAGTTGTAAGAACCAAAACATCTCCAGACATTACCTTTCCACATATATGTGGAAGCTCTGGCACTCTCAGAGCTGAGGTGGGAATGTCTGACATATATGTGGAAGATGAGGTTTGACTTTTAAATAAGGGGGCGACAAAAACAATTTTTACTTTTTAGGGAGGGAACGCTGGCAGCCAAAACATTTTGTAAATATGTAGAAACCGTTCCTGGCATACAACTTGGAAAATAACGCTTATTTTAAAAAGTAAAATAAAAACTATAGTCCTTAGTTCGGAATACCCTGTAAGGTTACCCTCACCTTTTTTCCTTTTCTTCCTGGATGTCCATATCCATCAGAACCAGGAAGACCCTAAGAAGATGACATATAAGATGAACTGTAGAGTCACGCAGATCAACACTTGTTGATAATAGTATATGAACCCTTGGATAAATCAACAATGCTGGGATAGCAAATGAGCTTGATGGAGATTGGGAGACTACCTTCATAGGACAAACACTCCAGATTTGGAGGAGATACAGGTTTAAAACTTCGAAAGACCACCATAGAAAGAAGTTTTTAGGTTTTTTAAGCCCCCATCTGTACATCAGCAAGATGATACCTCAGTTATAGGAAGGCATACACAACTGTGCAAAGTTTCCCTTGGGCTAAATTTGCTTTCCTTGTGAGATAAAGTAAAAATAGAAGCTCTAGAACTGGTGAATCATCAGACAAAATCACAGACTTCAGAGAAAAAGACTGGAATAGAGGCAATATAGTTTAGTGGTTAAGTGTACAGACTATAAACCCACATAGACCTGAATTTTTATTCCAGTTCCAACATTAGTTGTATGAGTGACCCTGGGAAAGTTGCACAACCTCTATAAACTTCAGTTTCCTAATCTGTAAAATAGGGATAATAGTATCATCTATACTGTATACTCGTTGGGAAGATTTAGTGAGATTGTGTATGAAAAGTGCTTAGCACAATGTCAGGCACAGAGGCAGTACTTAATAAATGGTAACTAGTCTGCTGCTGGTGGTGGCAGTGGTAGTGATGGTGTCAGCAGAGGGGTGGTAATGGTAGTGGTGCAGATGGTAATAGTGAAGGTGGTGGTGATGATGGTAGTGATAGTGATAGCAATGGTGACAGATGATAGTGATGGTGATGGTAATGATGATGGTGGTGGCAATGGTGATGATGGTGATAGTATGGTGGTACTGATGATGGTGATGGTAATGATGATGGTGGTGGCAATGGTGATGATGGTGATAGTATGGTGGTGCTGATGATGGTGATGGTAGTGATGATGGTGGTGGTAATGGTGATGATGGTGATAGTATGGTGGTGCTGATGATGGTGATGGTAATGATGATGGTAGTGGCAATGGTGATGATGGTGATAATATGGTGGTGGTGGTAGTGATGATGGTGGTGGTGGTAATAATTGGGATAATGGTTATAGTGATAGTGGTAGTAGTGGTGATGATGTTTATGGTGAGAGTGATAGTAATGATGGTGGTGGTGGTGGCAGTGATGGTGGTAATAGCAATGGTGATAATGATGGTAGTAGTGATAGTGGTGGCGATGGTGATTGTGATGATGGTAATGATGGTATTGATGGTAATGGTGGGGGTGATGATGATGCTGGTAGTTGTGATGTTATTGCTGAAGATAATGATGGTGGAGGTGGCAGTGGTGGTGATGATAATAATCATGAAAATGATGATACTCCCAGGGAGCTTAGCATCTGTATAGACAGACAATGAGCTTCCTGTAATAAAGAGTAAATTCAAAACCCTATAGGGGTTTTTTTTTCTGAATGGACAAAGGGTTCCCCAAAACCAGGTAGATAGATTGAGAGGAAAAATTAAAAATTTGAAGACACAAAAAGATTCCTAGGGTCTAAATTGGAAAGTCTGAAAGACTAGAAGAGAAAAAAAATAAGACAAAGAAGATTGCCAAAAATGAGTTCTTAGCAGGGGCCAGAGGGGTGATAATGAAGTTCATTTGCTGTTACTCCATCTTCTCCTTGATGAAGGATGTGCAGAACCTTCAGCATCTGCAGCCTCAGAGACCCAAACTCTGTATTTTTGGAGAGGTCTCTTGAAAATAGTCACAAAATAGCTAACTTGCTCTCCTGTTCAGGGTGATAACTAAGGTAAAAATGCGTAGTCCTGTGTTTGAAAGTGTTGTCTTGTAGAAGTAAGTATTTTATGTACTTTGGTCTCCAAAGATTACTTCTACACTCTAAATAATCAAATCCATACTCTTAAAAGTTTGCTGATCTGGCTGTCTTATTTGTTGCCCTGGAAAAAAAAAAATGTTTCACTGAACAGCTCTCTATTCCGGAAAGACTTCAAATGCTTATAAGATATCATTGTCAAACAGATGAGGGACATTGGCACTTTGCTCTTCAACATGTGAGAAGGCAAAATAAATTCCAAGACATCTTTGGATTCTTAATTTATACAGGAAGTTTGAGAAACTTTGACTACTCAGATTCTTAAGAGTGATGGTGGTCATGTCATATTTGTAACCACGAGTTTAGCTTAAGAATATTAGAAGTTTGAGTTCACAGCAATGATATTAAAGCCAGTTTATTACATCAAGTTGATGCCATTTTTGTTTATCAAGTCTTTTTTTCATGATTTCTTATTGTAAGCTAAAAGATGGATAAGATACTTTAATGCTGTGGTAGATGACTCCATCAAAATTTGGCTTGGTGCATACTGAGATTTTTTTTAGATAACATCTCCCTGATTTGCCTGATATATTCTGAACTGAATAAAAGTGGTTTCATACATTTAAAAAAAGAATATTAGAATTTTAAATAAAACAAGAACAATGGCAAATAAATTCAATCAAGAGTCCAAAACAGAGAAACTGGACTTACAGGTTGCCCTCTTGGTCCTTGTTGACCCCTTGGGCCTCTTTCTCCTGCATCACCAAGCTCTCCCTTTTAAAATAAAGAGAAAAGATAAAATTAATTTTCTTCTATGAGGTTATGCAATTTTGTGTCATTTTCCTTAGAGATTTTACAGTCACTGTTTTCAAGTTTTGATAGCATACCATATACCCTAAGGTTAATACTTTTCTCTAGGCTTTGTTAAATATGTATAACTAGCAAACATAGTAACAATTTTGGTATGGAAAATTAGCAACACCAGGTATGTAACATCAATTACAGAATTTTATATTACCATGGCTTTTTCTAAATTCAGATGTGCACATTTATATTTGTGGTGACTCCATATGTATATCTAACTACTGATACCTCTTTGTCTACTTATACATGTGATTTATTTTTCTATATGTTCCTCTGTATGTGTTGCCTCCAGTCAATAGCATCACCAACCATATCAGAAATGTATGTTGGAAATGATGGTATAAGTAAAGATTTGTTTAAGAAAACCCAAGGGGTTTTCTCAAGCTACAATCAAGAAAGATCATGTTCTCTGACATTTACCTTTATTCCTCTTAGTCCATCTTTTCCTTTTGAACCTGGAGGCCCTGGAGTGCCAGGATTCCCCTGTAACAAGACCATAGCCAAAATTACCACTAGGGCTAAGAAGTTAACTATCTGTCTCTCTTGTTATTATTGAAATAGTTTATAACTGGTAATATGCTCACGAATCACCTTATAGATGGAAGCTTAGCCTTTGATATTTAATACATTTAATTAATTATATCCTCTAACATACAAAATGCATAATATAAACATTTACACTATGGGTTGGGGGGCATTGAGATAGGGGAGCAGGAGGCCACATCTACCACATACTGAGAATTGAGGGAATCATTTCTACGCTACAGGGGAAAACATTATTTGATTAAGAGATCCAGAAAATAAAAGCCTAGACTTCCACCTGCTCCAAATTGAAAATATTTTCAACTGAGATTGACAATAATATAATCAGTTATAAGGCCAGGTTTTTTTTCCTGATCAAGGCAGAAAAGGGACAGATGGCTTTAGCCATCTTCAAGCTGCCCTTTTCAGTTTCCTGATGGAGACTCATTCCTGACTCTAATCATGCTGCTCATGTTTCTAAGCCATCCCAAATGCTCACTTCCTTAGAAAGCTATTCTGATCATCAGTCTCAATCTACCTGACCCTCCTATGAACCACCAAGATATTATTTGGAGAATAGAGCAGGTACTAGCAAGACCCAAGATTAGATACTTACTGTCTGGATGACAAGTCATTTAATTCCTCTTAGCCTCAGTTTCCTTATCTATAAAATTGGTATAGTAATGATTCCTTATATATTTGTGAGGATCAAGATTACTTATTTATAGTTTTATATGGTACTATTATTTCATCTTTTACTGTAGCTAAATTTGAACTTGTATTACATACCCTTGAGGTTTAAACAATTTACCTCAATTTACCCAGAGTAGGAGATACATAGCAGATGATCAATATCTACTGCATCAAATGAACTTTTCTAGAAATTCCTGATATCCCCATATCCCAGAACAAACAGTGTAGCTTTATGTTATTTATCCAGGAACACTCAGAGTATAAATCAGCCAGTGTTAATGAGTAGCTGCATTGTAGTTGTTTTAAAAACCTACCTGAGCACCCACTAAGCCTTTTTGTCCAGAAGTCCCTGGTGGTCCTTGCCTTCCTCTTGGCCCCTGATCCAAAGATGAAATTAAAATTCAACCAGTTTTTAAAGAGTCATTTACATTCCATGTAACCACAAAATCACCTTGGATGCCAGTGGAAGCACAAATTAAGGTGCCCGACCCATCACTATGTCATTTATCAAACTTTAATCAGGGAGCATCTGCACTCTGAAGCACCCGAGAACACTCACTTCAAACTCACTCCATCTGAAGCAGAGGGTGTGAGTCCTCAGCATCTATATTTTTAGCAGTCTCTCCAGGTGAATATGATGAGTACTAAAGTTTGAAAATGTTGCTTTTTTATTTTAATTCATTCAACTAATTTTAAATCCTAAAGAGGGATAAGAGGGCAGCAAGGCTATTGATTTCCACTGAAAAATGAACCCTTTCCTCATACACACAAGGGTTAAGGACAAAAGATTGTGTTTTCGATTTGATCAAGAGCCAAGGGTGCATTTAAGTGGCTTAATCTCACTGACTACACTTCTGGGGATTTGCTCATTTTCTCCCCAATATATTTTACTTTGCTGATTTTTGACACTTTAATATTTTCCAGCTTTTCTGAGAAACACTTTCCTATTAGAAGTATTGATGGATCATGGCTTCTACTCTCCTAGGTGAGGTATTGACAGTCATCTATTTAAATAGACTATCACACTCACATCCCAGTGGGAAGGTGAGAATTAAGGAGAGGTTTTATTGATTATCTTGTTCATGGTTCCCAGCATGACTTGCTTCCCTTTCACCCAGCTGTGTAATGAAGTGAGTATAGACAGGAAGGCAGTGAGGTGGGGGGCAGGGGTGGGGCGGTCCTGAGCTAGTCATCAAAAAGAAAGGGGAAAAATACACATCTTTTACTTGCTTTCCCTTCAGTTCAGATACTATTTTTCACCATAAAATAAATATAATCTCTAATTACACACTGACGACCCATTTTTTTCCTTAGTGCCTTTAGCAAGTCTAAGAGGAGCAGATATCTTCTGAAATTATCATCTGACACTCATAGGATTTTTAATTATGGAGAATGATTTAAGATGTTAGTAAAATTTATTGTTTCAAAGTTTTTCCATTTGCGTATACTTAAAAACAATTTGGCTATTAAAAGAAATACATATAGTGTGTTCCAGAAGGGCTTGCAGAATGACAGATTTGGGTTATGCTTAGATGATGCTGAAAGAGCTAGTTGAAAGTTTAAATTTCCAGTTATCAGGTGATAACCTAACAAAACCCCACTGGGTGAACTTGAGGACAGGACCCTTGCCTTAATGGTATCAATGTCCCAGGTCTATTAGCAGAGTGCCCTGTGCATAATAGATACTTAGTAAACACTTTACTGATTTTTCCTACCAAAGTGAGTGATGGGGTCTCACTCTTTTGCCCAGGCTGGAGTGCCGTGGCACCATCATAGCTCACTGCACGCTTGAACTCCTGAGCTCACAGTGATCCTCCTGCCTCAGCCTCCCAAGTAGCTGGGACTAGAGATGTACACCACTATACCAAGATATGAATACAATTTTTAAAAATTAAATAATACTTGAATACACAGCTTCAGAGGCAGTAATCAAGAGCACTGGTTTTGTAACTATACTGCCTGAGTCTCAATCCCAGCCTTATCATTTATTAGCTGTGTGACCTTTGCCAATTTACCTAACTTCTCCCTTCCCTCTTCATTTCTCTCCTGTAAAATGAGAATAATAACTCCCTTCCCATTGAAGAATTAAATTAGTTAATACAAGTGCTTTAGGCAGTGTCTAGAACATAGAGGTCAATAAATATTAGCTATTGTGGTTTAATCTTTCAGAAAGGGGGCTATACCATCTGCTTTGGGAGGCCCTGGAAAGGAGGCACCTAAAGCCATTCTGATTTATATTAAATTCTTATCAAACAAATAACTTGAAATTTCAAACAAATATCCTTCAGCACTAAAACCAAGTTCCCAGATACAACCTGTGAGCCTGGATACCCAAGCTCTCCTTGGTAACCCTGTTCACCGGATTCTCCAGGCACACCCTGTCAAAATGAATAAGACTTATAGTGAGTTCACCAGCCATCTTCAGTGTTCTTATTGAAAGCAGCTTTTCCTGCAATATATCACTTGAAACCACAAGAGAAAGACTCAAACAGGATTTGACAGGTTGTGATCAATCCTCTTAAGGGATGAAGTTGAAGACGAAATGTGGATATTTACACTTATCTTGGGAAAATACAAGACCAAATTCTTACGGCCTTTCTTAAGGTCTTTTATTCCATACAGGGAAACTCAGAATATTGAACACAACAATAAACATGACACTGAGACAAAGGCACACAAAGTGCACGAGAAAATAACAGAAAACTGGCTTTGAAACCCTACAGATCTTTATGGCAAGAAGCTAGGTCTCTAGGCAAAGGGTGAGTTATTAAAATGATTTATTCTACACCTGATTGAATTTATCCCACAAATTTTCATTTCTACAGAGAAGATATGTTTTCCAAGATTGAGGATAACACCCACTTTGTAAATTATTCTGCCTTCTTTTTCATATTGCTCACATGTTGACTAGATCATTAATTATTCATAGATATGCAAAGAGCAAAAACTTCAAAGTCAGAATTTAATCAATGTGTGGATCAATTACTTGTGCTTCATCAGTTTTTGAAAATATTCAGTACTTCTTTTAATCATTCCTGTTATGTTATTCTGCTCTTTAAGAGTTTATTTCTAGATTTATAAACATGAAGCAAATTTTAAAAGGAATACAGCTAGAAATTTTGAACCAAGTTATGAAATTTGTCTAATTTGCATATTATCACATTAGTGACATTCAAAGTGCAACATTTATAAAAACAATGTGGCTATATATAGCTAAGTTCAGACTCTATTATAATTCTATGCTTATAAATTTAAATTAAGAAAATAATTTCAGCAGAGCAAAAGCAAAAACAAAACAAAAAATCTGTAATACACATCACTGATGTTCTTCACATCAATTACTATGATATGCAACAAAACAGAAATTACCTAAATGCTCAACGTAAGGATAGATTAGTACATCATGGTACTTCAATAGAGTAAAATATAATGTTCTAAAATGATAATAGGGAGATTTGGAAATAGGAAAAAGCAGAATACAAAATGTCATATACATTATAATAATCCTTCATTTTTTATACAAGAGAGTGGAAAAACATGAAAATACTTGCAGAAGGATGGTGGGTTTGTGTACCTTTAAAAAAATTAATAATATTCTTAATTTTATCAAAAACAACAAATTTAAAGTCTTGCCTTACTGACAAAAAATGTATGCATCAATTTGTTTGGCATAACTATAACATTTTCTATAAATAAAATTTTATTTAGAATTTCACTTTGTTATACATCTTGCAAAAGAAAGCAGATCTAATTTTATAGATAATACTGAGCCATATTTTCCCAAAGTCCAAGGAATGCTGTAAGTTGGAGTTCAGCATCTCTATAAACTATATTCTTCCGGTAGGACTGACTGGTTTTTAGCAAGTTACAACCTCAGAACATAAATGGGCCTATATGACCAGTGCTCCAATGTTGAGTCATCTAGCAAATCAATGATGTGGTGGATAAACCTAGTTCATTCTGAAGCCTGCAAATATTTGTAATTATATCTCTTATTTTAAAAATCAACTATACTATAAGGCCATACTCACCAAAACAGCCTGATACTGGTATAAAAATAGGCATATAGAGCAATGAAACAGAAATAGATAAAAATAAAATGAATAATAGAAATGAAAGCTCTACTCTAATATATTAGGATATTAGCTTCTTTTCAATCTAAATGAAACATTATAGCAGGGTGGGGAGGAGTCGGATAACCATATAAACTTTCCCTTTTTCATGAAAAACAAAAAATCTTCATGGAAACTTTCAATGAACCTCATGCAACCTCAGACAGCCCAGGCAGCACTCTCCTTGACCTCAGAGAGAACAATTTAAAGTAGCCATAAAAGTTAGACAAATGGGACTATATTGAACTAAAAAACTTCTGAAAAGAAAAAAAAAATGAGCAGAGTGAAGAGACAACCTGTTGAATGGGAGGAAATACATGCAAACTATTCACCCAACAAGAGACTAACATCTAGCATATACAAGGAACAAACACTCAATTGGAAAAAAGCAATCCCATTAAAAAGTGGGCAAAAGATCTGAATTGACACCTTTCAAAAGACATACAAATGGCCAATAGGTATATGAAAAAATGTTCAACATCATTAATGATGAAAACCACAATGAGATATTATCTTATCCCAGTTAGAATAGTTTTTATCAAAAATGCAAAAAGCAACAAATGCTAGCAAATATTCAGAGAAAAGGGATACATATTTTTGGTAAGAATATAAGTTCATACAGTCATGGTGGAAAACAGTCTAGAGATTTCCCAAAAAGTTAAAAATAGAACTACCATATGATCCACAAATTCCACTAACTGGCATTTACCCAAAGGAAACCAAGTCAGTGCATCAGACGGTTACCTGCACCCCCTTGCTTGTTGCAGCACTATTCACAATAGCAAACATGTGGAATCAACCAAAGTTTCCGTCGACAGATGAACAGATAAAGAAAATGCAATGCATACACACAGTGAAATACTATTCAGCCACAAAAGAGAATGAAATCCTGTTATTTGCAGCAACATGGATGGAACAGGAAGTCATTATGTTAAGTGGAATAAGTCAGGCACCAAAAGACAAATATCACAATTTCTCTCTCACATATGGGAGCTAAAAAAGCTGAACTCACAGAGGTAGAGAGCAGAATGATAGTTACCAAAGCCTGAGAAGGGGGTTGGAGGTAGGGAGAATGAAAAGAGGTTCATTAATGTGTAAAACAGTCACATAGAAGGAATAAGTTCTAGTGTTTGATAGTATAGTAGGGTGACTATACTTAACAATATATTAGACATTTCAAAATAGCTAGAACATAATATTTGAAATGTTCCCAACATAAAGAAATAAATGTTTGAGGCATAGATACCCTAAATACCCCGGTGTGATCATTCTGTGTTCTATGTATATATCAAAATATCACATGTACTCCATAAATATGTGCAGATATTATGTATCAATAATAAATACAGTAGTCACATGTGTGGAGAAAAGAGCAACTCTTTCCAGAAAGCACTGACCTTTAACCCTGCCAGACCTCGCCTTCCTCTTGTCCCCTAAGAAAAATGGAAAGCAGAGACCTTAGAGAAGGAAACAAACCAACTTTCACCCCAGCCTACCACCCTCTTCCACAAAGGCAGGGGAAATACATCCCTCCAGCTGCTATACCTACCTGAGGGCCAACATTTCCAGTTTCTCCCTGAACTCCATCAAAACTAGAACGTCCCTGAAAAGTAAGAGATAAAGGGAAGATCAGAAACAAACAACAACAAATGCTAGCAAAACTTTTTATCCAACACAGAAGCCACTAGGTAGATGTGGCACTTAAATTTATACCAAATTACATTAAATTAAAGATGTAGCTTCTTTGTTATGCTGACCACCTTCCGAGTGTTCAATAATTTCATGTGGCTAGTTGCTACCATATTGAATGGCACAGATACAGGATATTTTGACGATCTCAGCATGTTCTGTTGGTTAGTGCTCCTCAAGAAGAAAACGACATTAAATTCTGATATTTCAAAATATCAGTGTTGTAGGCATCTTTCCCCAGAGACTGTTCCTTTGATGACTCCTTACAGTTCACCATGCTGGGACCACAGTCACACGTAGCCTCCAACAAGCCATGCTTAATATTTGAAAATATTGGTATTTCTCTTTCTACCTGTATAATTTAGAGTCCTGAGTGGATGACAGAAACAGAAGGTAGAAAAGTGTCTCTCTGAAGACATGGGTGACCAAAAGATACAGATGCTGACAGAGAGAGGAGTTTATATAGTCATAGTGAGGAAAGATTCTGGTATTCTCACCTCTTTGGGGTCAGAAGTGGAAAAATGAGTATTTTTCAGAGAAAGAATGAGTTCATTTTTTAGGAAAAATGGAAACCACGTGGGATGCCAAGTAGGGGGACTTCGGATAATTATTTCATAAAGTTATATGCTAACTCAATAGGAACACACAAATAGGGATATAATGTGAAATACAGAAACAAAAACGTTTCACGCAAAACTGTTCACCCAACTGTTATTTATAATAAATTCTGAAACAATTTAAAGATCCCACAACATGAGGGAAGTGTCGATCAAATTATGTTAGAAACACTTATTGAAATGGAATGCAACAATTAAAAACTACGTTTCTCAAAAGTTTTTAAAGTACAAAAAAGTTTGTGCTATAATGCCAGAGGTGTTTAGCCTGAATCTAGTTATGGGGAAACAATCATACAAATCCTAATTCAATGGGTGTTTAGCAAAATAACTGGTGTACAGTGTCAGTGTCATGTAAACAAATAACTGGGCAGAAGTGATGAAAGGGCACTGACGGCATAGGACAGCTAAAGGCACTGCATAGTCTCAGCTGGATCCTGGAACAACAGCAGCAGCCACAGAGGACATTACTGGGGTGTTACAGACTCAAGGTCTGTGTTCCCCTGAAATTTCATATGTTGAAATCCTAGCCCCCAGTGTGATGGTATGAGGACGTGGGGCCTTTGGAAGGTGATTAGACCATGAGGGTGGTGCCCTCGTGGTGGGATTAGTGCCCTTATAAAAGAGGCTTGAAGGAGCACTCTAGCTCTCCTTCTGCCATGTGAGGTTGCAGCCAAGATGGTTGTCTATGAACCAGGAAGCACTCTCTCACCAGACACTGAATCTTCTAGGGCCTTGATTTCAGACTTCCCACCTTCCACGACTATGAGAAATAAATATTTGTTATTTAAGCCACCTAGTCTATTATATTCTGTCACAGTAGCCAAACTGCCTAAGACATGGAGCAGGTGGAAAAATCTGAATATGGACTGTATATTAGAAAATAATACTGGCTGGACACGGTGGTTCATGCCTGTCATCCCAGCACTTTGGGAGGCCAAGGTGGGTGGATCACTTGAAATCCGGAGTTCGAGACCAGCCTGGCCAATATGGTGAAACCCCTTCTCTACTAAAAATACAAAAATCAGCAGTATGGTGGCAGACGCCTGTAATCCCAGCTGCTTGGGAGGCTGAGGCAGGAGAATCGCTTGAACCCAGGAGGTGGAGGTTGCAGTGAGCCGAGATTGTGCCACTGCACTTCAGCCTGGGCATCACAGAGAGAATCCACTCAGAAAAAAAAGAATATTGTATAAATATTAAATTTCATGAGTGTGATGATTACATTATGTTTATATAGAATATCCTCTTTCTTAACAAATACTTGTTGAAAATTTAGAGGCAAAGCGTCATGAAGCCTTTGATGAATCCACAGTTGCGCGCGCGCGCACACACACACACACACACACACACACCCTATGTATATGTATAAAAAGATATAAAGCAAATATGGCTAAAGGTTAAACATTGGTATTTAGCCTTACAACTGTACTTTTCCATAGATTTGAAATTTTTCAGAATGAAGAGTTAGGATAAAAAGTAACAGGTTCATCATGGACTATTTCAACAATACAAAGAATAAAATCAAGGTAAAGAAACACTAGGGGCTAGCATGTTGTTGCTACAAACAAGTTGGTTTTTCTCTCTCCTTTCACTTCCTTCCTTTCTTCCTTCCCTTCCTCCCTCACCCTCCTTCCTGTCTTTCTACATTTCTTCTTTCTTCCTTCTATTCCTTCCTTCCTATCTCTCTTTCTTTATACCATAGAAGGGAATGGACATGGGCTGGCAACTGACAGTATCCACAGCCTCTGCCATAAGTGAGCTGGAGGCCAAACCCAGTTCTACTGTGTACTGAAAAGAAAAGGTAGCACACTTCTTCTAAAGGCACTGCGGGTGCTGACGATGGACACTGTGTCCCATGTAAAGGGCATACACTCTCAGCCATAAAAGAAAACTAAATTATGTCCTTTGCAGCAACATGGATGCAGCTGGAGCCCGTTACCCTAAATGAACTAATGCAAAAATAAAAAACCAAATACCACATGTTCTCATTTATAAGTGGCAGTTAAATCTTGGGTTCACACAGACATAAAGATGGGAACAACAGACACAGGGGACTTTGAGAGGGCAGGGAGGAAGGGGGGGCAAGGAGTGAAAAGCTTCCTATTGGGTACTATGTTTACTATTTGGGTGACGGAATCAATAGAAGCCCAAACCTCAGTACCACACAATATACCCTTGTAACAACCTGTACATGTATTTCTGAATCTAAAATGAAAATGGAAATTAATTAAAAAGAAAGACATAATTTTAGCGATATAGAAACAGTCTACAAATCTGGACTCATGTTAAATACAGGGTTTGTAACCTGCTTTTTTCACTTAATATTACATCATGGATGTTTTCCAAATCAGGAAGTCATCTTCTATGTTTCATGGCCTAATACTATTCCACTGTGTGGAAGAGCATTCTTTATGTAAATAATCCCTTATTATTAAACATTTAAATATTTTCAATGTTTTACTACTTTACAAATCACTGCAATGACCATCCTTGGAGCTAAATCTTTGTGTTGCACCATGAATAGCTTCCTGATAAATTTCTAGGACTAAAAAGAGCAGATCAAATGACATACCCATCTTAAAGCCGTGGCAGACTCAGTTGGTGGCCAATAAAACAGGCCCTCCCCTTTCCTCCACGCTAAGAAAATCTGTTTGGTCTTTTTAGTTTTATTTGGAGCAACAACACACCCAGCTCCAAGAGATGAATTACCACAGGCCTAAACCACTGTGGTGATCCCATTTTCTTTGGTTAGAGACTTGCTTTTTCTGCATCTCTTGAAATGGGGCAAGGGCAGGTGGAGAGCACAGGGCCTATTTTAGCTAATGAGCTATAAAGAGAATGTTGCCGGGAGTAATTTGATGAAAGGAAAGCCGCTTTTCTTCTGGCATTTTATGTAAAGGGGAAGACAAAAACATTTGGAGCTGCTAAGCCTAGGGACGGAAAGCTGACACCCTGAGGGTGGCAGTGTGGAAGGAGACGCGCTGACGACATCACTGAGGCTCTCTGGGATCATAAGCTGCTCTGCCAAAGTGGTCATCACCTATCTCTGGGTTATAAAACACATTTATTAGCTAAACACTGCTAGGCAGGCTTTCTGTCCTTTGTATATTTAAAAACATAATAACAACAAAAACAAAAAACGGTAATCTTGATGACTAATGTGCCTTGCCTATTGCCTCCCAAAAAGGTGGTTACTGATTTTCATTCTCCCCAGAAGCGTTGCTTTCTCACTTCTGACTGGTATGACTGGTTCACCAAGCTTTCTCCAATATTAGGTATGTAATAAAGCTGCTCTGCTTGATCAGAAAGACTGCTTCATCAGGAAACCTTCTCCATCCAGATTGCAACATTTAATCTGTTCTTTGGATAATCTCGGAAAGGAAAGGTTGCCCCCTAGGGAGCTATCTCCAACAGCACCTAACTCCTGCTAGAACAGGAGTGTCCAAACTTTTGGCTTTCCAAGGCCACGCTGGAGCAAGAAGGATTGTCTTGAGCCACACATAAAATACACCAACATTAACGATAGCTAATGAGCTGAAAAAAAAAAAGAAAGAAAAGAAGAGAAAAAAATCTCATAACGTTTTAAGAAAGTTTCCAAATTCTGTCGGGCTGCATTCAAAGCCATCCGGGGCCACATGCTGCCCGCAGGCAGTGAGTTGGACAAACTTGGGCTAGAATGTCAGCATCTACCAGCTGGAGGGTAATAATGTAGCTGGTATGAGTGACTTCTGTTCCCTAAGTCTATTCAAAGGGTATTTAGTTACCACCCTTTTTTGGCCCAGCATGGGAGTAGAAACCATGGGGAACACAAATGGAATATGTCACGGCACTGCCCCAGAGGGATGCAGTTTTTGTTTGCATGTACAATTTAGGGATCTGATGCTCAAAGTTAACCCTCTGCAAAAGTCAGCAATGGAGGCCTCAGAAAGCTGTGAACATGCAGCTCTTGGCTGCATGCAGCTCGTGGCTGCGGTGCTGTGATGTACACAGCACAGGACAATTTGTCTAGAGGCCTAGGCTCCTTCCCAGCAGTAAAACCTTGAGTAAATCTGAGTATACAGATCATGATCTTTCTTCTCACAACAACCACAACTCATGGAAGCTTTGAAATGGTTTCTCTATATTCCTGCCTTACAGATGAGGAAACTGGGGCCCACATGGGTTAAGGGTTGCTATCCTGCTGCTCCCTTAGCTCAATTCCATAGCCAATTGAGTGGCTATTCACAGGGCTCTCTGATGTCAACTCACCACAGGAAACCCTCTCAATGGGGTTTGTCCAAAACAACTGCAATTAACAAGATGAGATTCTTGCAGCAAGTCATGCTGATTTTCTCATACAGCGACATAATAATGATCTTGTTACAAACTGCATTTAACTCAGGATCTAGACATATATAAACGGAATGCAAACTAGCTAGAGAAGAGAGCCAATGTCCTATAGTTTTGTCAAAGGATGAAAAAGTGAAGTTCAGAGTAATAGAGGTTCCTCTCCAGCTGCAGACATTTTGCTATGCAGACCTCATGCCTGGGAATTAGGAAAGATATGAGGACTGAAGCACTTGGGTTATTTTAGTCATTTTTCAGAATCATGCATTTTAATGTCTGGGACATGAGAATCTAAAAATGGCTGCCAAGAAGTTAACACTGATCAAAGTTAACAAGTCTTTTTCCTTCTGTGATGCCTTGTATCACAATGCTTCTAGCCTTCGGAACTAAGCAAGGATTTTACCTTTAAAAATAGCTTAATACCCAGTTCACATCAACCAGCACTGACTGTGACAGAACGCAAGCTAGCACTGTAATGACCGTGAATACATTTAAAATTAATACATCATTCTAAAGATAGAGAATTTGGAAAACTAGAAATATCTTAGGCATTATTGAGTCTGGTGCTTTCATTTTGGAGATGAGGAAATCAAGACAAAAGATGTCATGTTGTAGGAGATACGATTTATATAGAAAAAAAACCTATGAATTAAGTATGCAAGGATGAGGATGTCAGTGGAGATTACGATTCAGAGCTCCTATCTCCATGGACAACAGATTCCCACAGGCTTGCTCTCTGTTTTTTGTAATGCTGATTCTACCAGAACACCCAACTCTTCTACCCCAGCTAGCATGTGTTCCCATGTAACCCGCCCAAGGAAACAGCAAACATCTTACCTGATGCCCACGCCTTCCTTTTTCTCCCTTAGGGCCTTGGATATAGCTATTAGTTCCAGGATCCCCCTGAGAAAATAAAGGGTTCATTACCTCAAATAAACAGAAAAGAAATTATAGGAAGAATTATTTAAAACAAAACAAAATAAGGCACAACTAAAGTGGACCCTTTTTATTGTCTTGACCTGCTCAAAAAACCTGACACTTAATGCAATTAAAATTCCAAATTTGTTAAGAACTCAACTTCTCTACAAGTTTTTCCCTCAATTCTCTTATTTGTTGCAACACTAAGACAAGGTGAACAGATGCTCTATTAGTGAATAATTAATTGCTCTTTGCCTTTGTGTCACGAGCAAACAGTTCTCCAGTCCCTGGAATTAAAGTAGCAGAAATCCCCCAACATCACTCACAGGATCTCCCCTTAGCCCAGGCTCTCCAAGCTCTCCAGGTTGTCCTGGCAGTCCCGGCAAGCCCTTAAACCACAAAGAAAAAAAGGTGTCACTTTTAAAAATCATATATTGCCTAGAGAGAAGAGAACATTAAGAGGGAAAATGAGAATCAAATGAAAAGAGCAACTTAGTACTTGAATTTTAAAGCATCCACTGCCACAGAGGTGAGATTGAAAGGTAAAGGACACGCTTTTATTGGCTATCTGCCATATGCTTGGCCCTACATATGTATTACCTCATTTAACCCTCACTGCTCAGGAGTTCACCAATTTGCATTATGCAGGACCTGAGATTCTAGGAAGCTAGACCCAAGTTTCCCTACCATCAAATTCCTTGATCTTCCCACCCTTTGCTGATGCTCCACATGGAAACACATGTTGTTGCTGTTGTTGTTTAAAAAGGGTTTGGTGGTGAGGAGGGCTTTCTCTATCATGAGCATGGGTAGTAGTGGTGGAGCAAGATCTCATGAATAAGAACAGAACGGAGAGAACAATGTTTCCAGAGGTCCTCACTACTGCAGATAGGAAACCAGAGAGGTGAAGAAACTTGCCATAGGACTATGACATGATACGTAAATGCTGCTTCTCTTAAAACCTGCCACCATCAGTGCCATCCCTGTGTCGTAGTGGCTACAGAGCCATGAAGTGGGGAGAGGCTCCACCACAGGTGTCTTCCTCAGATGACATCACATGCCTGGAGCTGGAGGGTGTGCACGATGAACAGATGGGATCACTGTTCCAGCTTTCAGGCACAACGGAAATAAAATGTTCTCTAGACTCCAACAGAAGCCGCCTCATAATCTTACTTGAGATGCCTCCTTATCTCTTTCCTGGCCTAATATAATGGTAAAAGGGAGCTAGATAATTCCAAGTTCCAATCCTGCTATTTAATTTCCTACATAGGTGAATTTCTTTGACTTTTCTAAGACTCCATTTTCTCATCTGTGAAACAGATGTGCCTAACTTAGAGAAACAGTGTATTCTCCACTCTTAGGAAATTAGGATCCTTATTTTTCCAAATCTATCCTTATTTCTTCTAATTCTAACCCTTTTCTTGAGCCTTTTTCTTAAGCTAGAATATACTGTGTTTCTCTCCCAGTCCCTCTCACAGAGGTCTGAGCAAAAAATGTCTTGATTTCCTGCATTGTCTAGAAAGCTGGAATCCTCTCACTCTTTGGCACCTGCTTAAATGCCACAGGACCTTAGTATAGAAGTTATTCTCTTGCCTCCTTCTCTCTTCCCTGATTAATTGTTACCTATCTTTAAAATTTCATCCCATCTTCACGTCCTCAACGAAACTTTTCTGACTGCACAGGCTGGGTCGAATCTCCTGTCATATTCCTCCCCATACTCTTACCTCGGCAGTAATATGATATCTATTTCCATGATTATTTCATTCATGTCTATTTTTTTCCATAGAGGCCAATCCTAGGAGCCCATGCCTGTTTTGTTTCCCATTCTAAAATCATGCCTTGATTACAATAGATGCTCAATAAATTTTGATGATGGATCAAATGAAGAAAAGCCAATCTATTTTAGCTTCCTCTCCAAGTCACTGTGCTCCCATTGATTCTTTATTTGCACCATTCTTACATCCTGTAGCTTATCTTATCTCATATTATAGTTTTTCCTGTACCAATTATATCTCCTGCACAGTCAATAAGCTCTTTGTTGGTCAGAGCCATGACTTACATATCTTGGAACCCTATTTTTATATCTAGCAAATGTCCCACAGGTAGGGACAATAAACACTTGACAGGTGTTTATTGAATTTAACTAAATTTAGCCGAAACTGAAGGCTCTCCAGTGTTAAGAAAGTATGGTGTCCTCCACCTTCTCTGAAGTCTGATCCATAAACTTCAAGTTAGCAATTAAACTTCAATAAAGGGCCATGTCTTCTGACTCTTCCTGCTTCACCTATTGGGAAATCAATCCATATCACTAATTGTTCACCCTTGGTGTAAAAGCATTACTCTTATTTCATGAGGAGAACAAAGAAGCATAAGCAAATAAATTACCCCCTTGATGTCTAATCCTATCAATTAATAGAGGCTGACTATAGTACTGTGTTGAGATGGATCCCTCAGCCATGTCAAATTCCATAATTGGTTAGTAATGTCTGCTACAGGAACAGGAAAGGAGGGTCATGGGACATAGGCCAGGCATCTGCTATCCCTTACATGGAGACAGAATTACCCTCTGGAGGAAGTGTGTAATCACTGTCAAACAGAAAGTACAAATAATTGCATGTATATCAAGAAGGCAAAGATCTCTACAAACTGGCATGCCAAGGAAGCCATTATAAGAAAGAAAGAGAGGAACTGGGCATTCAGGAAAAGGTGATATTCAGATTAAGCACTGAATATGGAAGCAGGAAAAAGGCATTCCAGGCGAGGCAGCTGGCATGAGCAAAGAAATAGAAGTGGGCATGCATAAGCAACATTTTGGAATCAGTGAGTCTGGGAAGACATTTCTTGACAGAGATTTGTAAAGAATGTGGTTGAAAGGCCTTGGATGTAACACTAAATCGTTGACGACAGGGGGCCATGAGAAGCTTGTGAGATGGGGAGTGACATGATCACTGTTCTCAAGCACAAAAGGTTAAGTCACAGGATTTACGTTACTCACTTCACCATCAGCAGAGTCAGGCCTTAGGTGAAACTTCCCAACAGCTATCTCATTTTAATTGCCCTTTAACTCCCCATTTAACTCTGTAGGATTTAAACCACTAGATGATATTTATCCCCACAGTTTCCCACAGTTTAAAAATAAACTATCCATGTCAGGTTACTTAATAGGAAAATGAAAGAATATCATCATGCTTTACCCGATTTCCCCTATTTCCTTTTTCTCCAAGTGACCCTGGGATTCCACGATCACCCTAAAGAAAGAAAAGTGAACATACAAACAACGTGTCTGTTATTAGTATCAGCAAAATTTTTCTTTATGTATTTTAACACTCTAGCCAAGAGTAGAAAGTACCTTTACTATATTTCTGACAATGTGACAGCCTAGATGTAACCCTCCCACTGAAAAACAATTTAAAATTCCAGATAAATTAAAATATATTTTGTATATATTAAAATCTGATTTTAAAAATTCTTATGGGTCATAATAAAGAGAAAGCAAGAATGTAGACAGGTAATAGCTTATGGCTGTCCCGAGGGCTTCTTGTAATTGTGTGTGTGTGTGTGAGTGTGTGTGTGTGGTGTGGTGTGTGTGTGTGGTGTGGTGTGGTGTGTGTGTCTCTGCGTGTGTGGTGTGAAGGGCCTCAAGCTGACAATTTATTTTAGGGTGGTCCTAGATGGTTTTGCCACTAGGAACATGGCAGAAGCAAACAATCTCAACTCAAGCCCTAATGACGTCTCACAGATAACATTCCATCAAAAAATGAGTTTAAACCAAAAGTCACAACACACATGAGGGAGACGCCATGAAGGAAAAGCCAGCAGAAACAAAATGCAACAAAATCAGACCTGCAATGACTGCAAATATGGGGATTCTAGTATACTGAATATAAAATGAGTATATTTAATATGTTTAAATAATTAGAAGAGAATGAATAAAATAACCAACTATGAAAGGAGACCACGTAGATTTCAGAAAGGATCAAACAGAACTACTTGAAGTGAAAAATATAATTAAAATTAAAATTCCAATTGACAAATTAAATATCATATTAAACACAAGTGAGGTGAGAATTAATGAACTAGAAACTGAAGAAATTATACAGAATGCAGCACAGAATAACAAAGAAATAGAAATATAAAAGAGCAGTTAAGAGACACTGAGGGCAAAATGAGAAGTTTTCACAAATTTCTAATTAGATTTCCGCAAAGAAATAATAGAGAAAATAGGAAAAACAAAAATTTCAAATGATAATTTTGAAATTAAGCACTAAAGATTTCCAAAATTTATAAGAGACATAAACACTCAGATTCAAAAGACTGACAAGTCCCAAGCAGAACACATAAAAAGAAATCCACACCTGGACAATGATATTGAAGCTGTCAAAAACTAAAATCAAAGGGAAAATTTTAAAGCATCCTTATACATTTTTAAAGGTTGCTTACAGAAGAACAATTATTTTGACAGATAACTTCTTAATGGCAATAATGAAAGGTAGAAGACAATAGAAGCCAGAAGACTATAAAATTACGTTTTCAAAGTGCTGAGAGAAAGTAACTGTCAACCAGAACTGCTTACCCAATGAACTAAACTATTTTTCAAAGAGATTTTCAGAAAAACAAGAGGAGTTTACAATGAACTGACGTTCATTAAAGGAAATTCTAAAAGCCATGCTTTACGCAAAAGAAACGTGATTCTTTTCATGTTCTTTTGAATGTATCAATGACTACAGGGAAGGTATCCCTGAGACGAGTAAACATGGGGTAAAGTAGATAAGCACTGACTATATGAAACAACAATAAGAATGTGTAATTGGTAGAATTTAACAAAAATAGATGGAAGTAAAATAATAGACAATAATATATAATATGGGAGGGAGTTGATTAAAGTTTCTAGAGCCCTTGTATTTTGGGGATGAGGAAAAATGTATAGATTAACACTAAACATTGTTGAGTATGCATGTTAAAAATTCTAGCTAGTCATGAAAAAGCTGTACTCTCTACAAGAGTATAAATGCCAGATTAATAGAAAGGAAAACATTAAATGAGAAACTTCAGCACCTGTTCTCCATCCAAGCCATCAGCTCCTTCCTCACCAGGGTTGCCCTGTAGAGCAAAGGAACATCAGAATGTTAGAGACAAGAGAAACAAGTGTATGTGAATATTTCATTGATGTTAATTTCCTTGCTAATATTTTTTCATTTGATACAGAATCTAGACTTTCCGTAACACTTGTATACTGCACCTAGTTACTAAAAAGTAATGATTATTTTCTTCCTGAAATAGTCATTAGGGTTATATACTGTTTTACCTTATAGCTTCAGGTGCTAAAAATGTATACATATTTTTTAACCTCAAAATTTGAATGGATAAGAAAGACTCCCTTTAAACTTTTGCACTTGGAACAAATAGCTCTTTCACAAAAACAAATGAAACGCTGGTTGTCAAATACTAAAAATGGTCATTTTGTCAGAATTTCTTTAAAAAGATGGTAAATATGCCTGAATTAATTAATTTCATGGAAACCTGGTAGTTCACAAATTAAAGAGGAACTACATGAGTGTGTGTGCATTTGTGTGCATTTTGGGAGATAAAATTTTTAAAAAAGGAAATGAAAAACCAAGGCTAATTAGGGGATAAGAGTAAAACTGGGCAGTGACACGGTGACATCTCATCAAATATTTCATCACTTTCAAATTATGGGCCCTTCATTTTGCCAATTATCCCCAAATGACTGATAATATATTCATTATAAAGAATTCGGTTTTTTTTTTGTTTGTTTGTTTGTTTTTGAGACAGTCTCACTCTGTCACCCAGTCTGGAGTCCAGTGGCAGGATTTCGGCTCACTGCAACCTCTGCCTCCCAGGTTCAAGCGATTCTCCTGCCTCAGCCTCCCAAGCAGCTGGGACTACAGGTACGTGCCACCACACCCTGCTACTTTTTGTATTTTTCAGTAGAAACGGGGTTTCACCATATTGGTCAGGCTGGTCTCAAACTCCTGACCTTGTGATCCACCTGCCTCGGCCTCCCAAAGTGCTGGGATTACAGGCGTGAGCCACTGCACCCAGCAGAATCTTTTGAAGAAAAAGTCAGAGTTTTGCAAGCAAAATAAAATGCATTTACATGTGTGAAATAGTTGATTTACTCCTACTGTCCACAAAAGAAAATCAAGTTTCAGGCTTTTTTTTTAAACAAAGCACAGCTGAGTTAGTACATAAAAATAAGTATAGCAAACTCTTGGAATAGAGTGACACAGCATACTTGCCACAGGCCACAGGAGGTTAATCGGTGGTACCAGAAAATATAAATAAGGAAGCTCCATGAGCCCTTGTCTGCCTTGTTCATCATTTTGTAACCACTCCCTAGGATAATGTGGGGAACAGGGTGGGTATCTAATAAATACTTTTTGAGTGAATGAATCAGCAAGTGGATACTATGGTTCTGAATCTGAATGCAAATCATTCCCTTCCTGTGCCCACTCCTTTCCTAACAACCTCGCCCCAGCACTCCTCTTCCATTTGACGTTCACCTTGACCAGACCCTCCCCACCACACCCTGGCTTCAGGACCAACACTTCTAGACCACCATGTGATGAATACGGTGGCCCAATTTTTATATAGAGTCAGCAAGGCTTGAAAACAATAATATGTCACTACCTTAAACCTGAAATACATGTCTTACAAGTAATCACTCATTAGCATGGAAGTTTGACTAGTAATATCATCTGACAAATTCCCTTGCCTGAAAGTCTGAAGTCTCACCTCACTCAGGCAAAGAAATGTGATTGAAATAAGTATTGTATTTCCCAAAGAAACAGGTATCCAGTTTAACAAGAGTAAACGAGATTACCTACCTTCTCTCCTGAAAATCCTCTTGCTCCCTAAAGTTAAAAAGAGATCACAAGAATTGAGCTTGAATGAGATTGTTAAGCCCTTGTTTTATTTAGGAAACCATATGCTCCCTGGTTTGAAGGAAATGCAACTATGATATTAAATAGAAATGAAGATGCCGTGTCTGGCAAATACGGTGGGCATTGCAGCGCCCTGATTGCTATCACCCTCTTTTGCCTGGAACTTGGAGAAAATTGCATTTTGCAACTCCTCACATAGTGGGAATCAAAGAGAACAACAGTGACCTGCCTGTTATTAAAATGAATTTTTCAAACAAAAGTGAGAATACATTGGCCAGTAAGCATGAGAGGGCTTCGAGGAACAACAGGACAAATTCATTGGAAGAGTAATTTGATAGGTATACAGAACACGGTCACTGTGGTTAGGAAAATTCTCTTCCGGATGCTTAGATTGTATAATTTTTTTTAACTTTATTAAGGGAGATTCTCCAATCCTGGACAGGTGAGGGACAGTTAATGTAACCACCTGAAAAAGTGCACCTGTATCCCTTCAGCCTTTAAAACTTTAGTGTTCTCACATGGACCCAGGGAGGGGAACAACACACACTGGGGCCTGTCGAGGGGTGGGGTGGGGGAGGGAGAGCATCAGGAAAAATAACTAATGCATGCTGTGCTTAATACCTAGCAGATGAGTTGTTAGGTGCAGCAAACCACCATGGCACATGTTTACCTATGCAACAAACCTGCACATCCTGCACATGTACTCCAGAACTTAAAATTAAAAAAAAAAAAAAAAAAAAAAAAAAAAAAAACTTTAGTGTTATCTGTCCTACTTTCAGCCACCAGCATCTGTCACTCTTTTCTGAGGGTTTTTTCAGGGACCAGGGCCTGCTCTACCCACATGCAAGACAGGTCAAAAGTGCTAGGAACTAATACCTCCTGGAAGTCGCCCTCAACTAATTCCTGATGGGATTTGGTGTATAAACACCCGAGCTCCCTCACCCCTTAACTGGGGTATATTCAGATGCATGTTCAACTCTGGCTGCCAGAGTTCTTCAGCAGGATTACGCTCCATCTACCTACAGTGCTGATCTGATTGATAATGTTCCATTTTCAGGCCTCTTTCCTCCTTATCTCACTTCCTTACTTCCCTACTATTGCTTACTAGCATGATCTCCCAGTAAAATACTTGCAATTGATTCTTTGTCTCAGACTTTACTTCTGGGAAACTTTTAATCTGAGGAGTAGCTAAGACTTCATAGTTATGTTGAAGAATTACGATTTTCCTCAAACTCAAGAGATGAAGCCAAGAAAGAGAAAGAATCCCACAGCTCAAGGTCTCACTCACCTTAGGTCCCCTCATACCAGGGCATCCTTCCTCACCTCGGAGTCCAGGAAGACCCCGGAGGCCTCGTTCTCCCTGTGGAAGAAGAAGACACATGAATGCATTCAAGCAACTGTCTCTGTCACCACCAGCTAATTCAAGGCAGCAGTAAGGACCTTCAAAATGACCAAAATATGACTTGGTCTTTACAGTTGCTTTTACAACCTCAAAGACTGCTCAGGTCACCTGCAAGGCACTCACATTGTTAATCCATCAACTGCTCATAGAGATGACTCCAACCCACACAACTCCAATCCATCTGCATTTTTTTAATCAATTCAGTTAAGCCGTGTGGGCAAAACTTCAGAATTAAATAAAACAAAAGGTCTGTCTGAAAATTTTCTTCAGTCAGCTGACATTGGACAGAAGTTTCATTGTGGTCCCTCAAGGAATAAATCATTATTTGATCCTTTCTCTTCTAGGTGAATTCCTACCCACTCCTAAGGTATAGGTCCTTTGTCACCTCCTCTCCTGAGAAGCTTTTTCTGTTGACCCCACACAATTATCCCTTCAGTTTCCTTGTAGTATTTGGAGGATACAAATTAGCATATATTATAGTGAAATGTGGTTATACATATCAGAATCTCCTTCTACATTGTGAGCTTCATGGAGACAAAGACAATGTCTCATTTCTTTATCGCTGCATTTGTAGCCCCAAACACAGCATCTGATCTAATAGACATTCATCCAGGATTTGAAGAATGACTTACTGAATTAAATTAATGAATATAACCTTTTCATCTAGGTATTAGATAAGGAAGGGAATGGTAGATATGCCTTTTGCCAAGTCGATTAAATATTAATTAGAAAGTACTGCACATCACATGAACTTTAATCAAAAGACAGTCTACATTTGTAATAACTAACTTTGACTTACTTAGGTTGATAACTGCATAATCTGTTCAGGACAGTAAAAAGGCACAAAATAAGATGAGAAGGCTATGGATCTAGACTGAAAGGGCATGTATTTGAGTCCTAGTTCTGCTTCTAGCTTGTTTTGCGAGCTTAGACAAAAGCACATAACGCCGTGAATCACAATTTTCACCATTTGTAAATGTGATCTAGATAATACTGACTCTAGTCATCTCGTAGGATTGTTATATTGAGTGTATGAGATGCTGTATTGGAAATACTTCACAAAGTTTATGGATTGAACAAATGAGGTGTTTTATACTCAGATAGCAACAGATAATGAGAAAAGCACAGACAGACATCTGGTATCAGCCAGACAGTTTTGGACGCACCTCCAACCCTCTCCAACCTTAACAAGTCACTTATTCTCTCTGAGTTTCTACTTTCACACACAGTAGATGCTAAATAAATGTCTGTTTTCCTCCCTTCTTCCTAGTGTATCTGTATTTTTAGCTTCAGTGTGTGGTGTTCAAGCTTCATCTGGAAAATGCAATCCTAACGTATCTACTGTACTATATTGCACTGTATAATGCTATTAATTGTGATTGGTCATTGTATCTATTAGAAAATAGTTGATATATACAAAACAGGGACATCAAGGAAAAATTTACTTTTTAACAAAACTAAAATTAACCCACTCAGCATGGCTACTATTAAAAAATAACAACAACAGAAAAGAACAAGTGTTGACAAAGATGTAGAGAATGTGGAGAAATGGGAACCTTTGTGTATTGTTGGTGGGAATGCAAAATGGTATAGCTGCTGTGGAAAACAGTATGGCAGTTCCTCTGAAAATTAAAAATAGCATTATCATATTATCCAGGAATTCTACTTCTGGGTATATACCCAAAAGAATTAAAAGCAAGGTCTGGAAGAGATTTTGGTACACCCATGTTTATAGTAGCATTATTCACAACAGCCAAAAGGCAGAAGCAACCCCAGTGTCTATCAGCGGTGAATGGATAAACAAAATGTGGCGTATCTTATATAGGTATGTTAATACAATTGAATATATGCAGCCTAAAAAAGGAGAGACATTCTGACACATGCTATAACATGAATGAATCTTGAACACATTTGCAAAGTAAAGTAAGCCAGTCACAAAAATACAAGCACGATATGATTCCACTTACCCGAGGTACCTAAAGTAGTCAAATTCACAAAGACAGAAAATAGAATGGTGGCAACAGAGACTGGAGGAAGAGGGAGTGATTGTCTGATGTATACAGAATTTTACACTGACAAAATGAAAAGATTTCTGGAGATGGATGATGGTGATGGTTACACAACGTAAATGTATTTAATACCACTGAACTGTTAAGTGATGGAGATGATGGTGATGGTTACACAACAATGTAAATGTACTTAATACCAATTAACTAAATTGTTAAGGTGATAAATCTTCTGTTATATGTATTTTACCACAATTAATTAAAAAGAACATTGTGAAGAAAAATAAATAAACTCACTCTTGTGACTTCTATCCCCAGTTTCTAAAATTTCAGTTGCTGTTTACACATAATTATGTTTTCCCAAAATTAGTCCACAAGAAAAAAAAAAGAGCAGTCTTAAATTACAGACCCCACAAAACCTTCACAATTTCTCATATTTCAGAGTACTCTCTCCATTACTTTACTTTGAAGAGCATAGTACTGAAACATAATCAGCATCAATATGAGATATTTATGGAATGTTACAGAGGTCACCCTCCAGGTCAGTTTTAAAAAAAGGAGATGAAGAAATCTAACAGAAATTTATTTACTATATTTTGGGGTGAGGCCTACAACTGCAAATATTGAATGCCATGCAAATAAGACTTTTAATACGCTATAGAAAACTAAGTAAAAATTTTCCAAAAAGCAGCTCCAGTAATAATAAAGAAATTGATATAGAAACTACATGGGAAAAAATTTTAATAAAATAATTTGATAAAATATAAGAGAGAGAAAAGCAGTTGTTCTAATGTTATACATAATTACACCTAATGAAAGACTAAACTGCTTACATATAACTAAATTAAAGATATAAATATTCTATTTATATCAAAATAGACATTTACCTATCTTACCTACATCCCTAAAAGTTTATACATTCTAATTGGCCAAAAACATTTTTAGGATGTTCACAAGAGGAAATGAGAACTGTATTTTTTATATGAGCCCATATGTTAAATGGTTTGGAGAAAAAAAAACAGTTTATTGTATTTCCAATTCAAATATTAAGCTCTGTAATGTTTAAAAATTGGTCTCTCATCTACTCACAGTAGTTGCTTAAGGCTGTACATAATATCCATGATTTAATGGAAAGACTAACAGCACTAAAAGGTTTTCAGATGCTTGGCTATTTTGTGACAAATGGAAATAATAATAATCACATACATATGTGTTTGTGTGTATAGATAGATATATAATGAGGAAACAAAGAATGTTTACCTCTGTGTCTGGCATATATAAATCTATCAACAAATGTTAGATGTTTTTGTTACTACAAAGTTACATAAATATTTTTTGTGACCTTAGATAGTCTGACTTAGTTCTACAAGTAAGGCTTTGCTGTGTAACCAATGCATAAGTTATTATTTAAACCACCCACTCATATAGATATACTTTTAAAGTAAATAGAATGTGTGAGTCTGACAGATTGCATTTTCCAAAGCCAGACAACATCTCCCATTCCACATGCTCTGTGACCACGCCCCTCCTCCGTGCTGGGGAGGAGTCTAATTCCCCTCCTCATGAATCTGGTCTGGACTTAATGACTGGCTTGCAACCAACACCATGAGAAAGCCATGTTACTGCCTGACTTCTGAGGCTGGGTCAGAGGCCTTGCAGCTTCAGCCTTGGTCTGTTGGAGCACTCATTCTGAGGACCAACCCTCCCTGCTGGAGTGCCGCCTATCAGTTCCAGCTCCACCTGTCCTTGTTCCAGCTAAGAAGCCAGAGCAGCAGACATGCGATGGAAGTGGCAGTGGGTCCTCCAGCTCCTGCTTCTAGAGCCCAGATAGTCTAGTCAACCCAGCCGAGATCCCAGGGGTGGAGAAAAGGGTTCAGTATCCCCACCCACAGAGTCTGTGAATATAATAAAATGATTATTTTACATCACTAAGTTGTGAGGGTCGTGGGGGGTAGTGGAACTGTAAGTTACAAGGAACTGGAACAATGATTTAGTTATTTGTCCTTGTACACTTTCAAATTGAGCATACAAATTTATGGGCCCCATTCTGAAACTGGTCTACATCTGCACAGAGATGTCTCTGCTGTTGAGTAGGCCAATCTGACCAGCTTTTCAAGCCAACAACATTAAAAGACATTCAAAGGACAACGCACTGTGAAGTCACCTTCTCTTGTGAGAAATGCATGAAAAAAGAAACTAAGATCTACTAGAGCTGCTCTGTCAAATACAGGGGCTGTTGAGCGTTTGAAATGTGTCTGGTTCAAACTGAGATGTGCCTTCAGTGTAAAGTAACATTTAGAGGACAGTGCACAGAAGAAGTAAGAAGTCTCATTAATTTTTATATTAAGTACTAATGAAATGATGCTATTTTAGATATATTGAGATAAATAAACTATATTATTAAAATTAACTTCATCTGTTTCTTTTTCCTTTAAGATAGCTACTATAAAATTTAAAATTACAAATGTCACTTGCATTATATTTCTAGCCCTGTACTAAAAGGGTCTTTATAACATATCTTGGTTTCATAATGCTGGCACAGTAGAGAAAGGGGAGAAAACCGTCTTTCACTCTAGACAGACAAGAATTTGGTTTATCCTCTTTGCCTGAAATCAGAGTCAATGGTCCCAATGAGTGGGATGGACCTAACATCATTCTCCTAATGTTGACTGGACTCATTGTAACACAGACCCAGCAGAAAAAATAAAGTAACACTTAAAGGACATTTTAAAACATAATAAAAATGGGAAGGAATATTTTCATTATTTCTAAATAAATAAATAGCAAAAATTCATCAATCACATTCCTAAATGTATTTCTAACACCTAAGACTTTGCTTACTGTGGAAAAATAAATAGAAAAGTTGAGCAATTCTCTTGTAAACATAATCAAAGAAATGGATGAGCTTACATGGGTCTCAGCAGCTACATTTTCCTCTGATTTCTGCTGATTTTCTAAGAGCCTAAATGTTTGGAATAATAAAAGAATGTGCCACTCTAAGTGGAGCAATGACAACATAGATACCAGCGGTTAAGAAAGTGTAGTCAAAGGGCCCCTTGTGTTTTCAACACCCTTTTGGGAGCATCACAAAGTTAAAATTATTTTTCCAATTACACTAAAAATGTCTTTTTTTTTTTTCACTCTTATTCTCTCCCAAGTATGTAGTAAAGTTATTAAGAGGTCACATGGCAAGTGACATCACAAGAGACTGAATATAAAGACAGATATGGAAATCCAGCTGCCTTCTAATAAGCTAAATATGCTAAACATGATAGACTGGACAGGGAAAATGTGGCACATATACATCATGGAATACTATGCAGCCATAAAAAATGATGAGTTCATGTCCTTTGTAGGGACATGAATGAACCTGGAAACCATCATTCTCAGCAAACTGACACAAGAACAGAAAATCAAACACCACATGTTCTCACTCATAGGCAGGAGTTAACAATGAGAACACATGGACACAGGGAAGGGAGCATCACAAACTGGGGTCTGTTGGGGGGAGCTAGGGGAGGGACAGCTGGGTGTGGGGAGTTGGGGAGGGATAACATGGGGAGAAATGCCAGATATAGGTGATGGGGGGGAAGGCAGCAAACCATATTGCCATGTATGTACCTATGCAACAATCTTGCACGTTCTTCACACGTACCCCAAAACCTAAAATGAAATAAAATATATATTTTTTAAATGCCACTTTCTCACTAATATTTTTTTGTTTGGGAAAATACAGTTATTTTTCATAAAGAAATATGTCATGAATGTTAACTTTAGTGAATTTATTGTTATTTTGAAATAAGGAATAATTTTTTAAATTCTTAGTTCTAATTTCTAATATGTTAAATAATAATACATGGAAACCACATAAACAAAAGCTCTTCAAGGTTTCCAATAATCTTTAAGAGTGTAAAGGTTGAGACGTGTGAGTAATGGAAAGATTTTAGTTAAAAGGTACAACCTTTCAGTTATTAGTAAGTTTGGGAGTTCTAATGTACAAGACGGTAATTACAGTTAACATTACCATATGATATACTTGAAATTTGCTAAAGAGTAGATGTTAAATGTTCTTGCCACATACAAAAATAATAGTAACTATATGAGGTGAGGGTTGTGTTAACTGACGACTCTGGTATCATTTCACAATGTATACGTATATATCAAACTTGTTATAATGTACATCTTAAATTGTACAATTCTAGTTGTCTATTATACCTCAATAAAGTTGGGGTGGGGGAGAGAATGTAATAGTATCCTTAGGCCAAAATGTTTGAAGACCAGCGACATATATACAAATCAACCTTAAAATAGCACCGGTGGCAAAGTGGTTTTTCATAATTCAAAATTAACTGAAAACCATGGGATGTAAAAATCCTTCTGGCGTTTATATTATGTAATAAAGATGGTCCCACATCCCAGTCCCCTAGCTCACAATTCTCTCTATTATACACATTTTCTTCATAGTCAGACACATGACTAATAGATAACTTCTGTTTGCCCAGCATATCCCCAGGGGTGTGTCCACAGTTACGTGCAAGCCATCAGTTGCTTAACTATAACTCCACCACCTTCTCAGCCACACAGGAAAGCATCTGAGTGACCTGTAGTAAGAACAGTCTTAGATTCTCTTCAATTATTTTGTTAACCATTTACAACCATGGATAGCTTCTTAACAGTAACAAATTATCTGCAATTTAGCTCATGATTAACAACTACTTTGATATCCATGCACACTAGACACAGACCACATTTTCAGTTAGTTCAAATTCACTGATTAAAAAATAAAACAGCCATACTGCATCAATACCTTCTAGAAACTATATCTTTAAAAAAGCAGATCATCCTGACATTTATTATAAAAAGTGTCTATTTTATATAGATATTTTAGATCCACTTTAAATGGCATAGATGAGAAAAAACTTTCATGACTTAGGTGCAATTAAATATTGCTAATATTTGGTCCATTTTGCCATGTTCTTTCAAAGTGAAGAAATAATATTCAGTACTTACAGATCTGCCTTCTTCACCAGGATGACCAGGTAATCCATCAAAACCCTTCTCTCCCTGAGAAGACAAGAAGTCAAAATAAATAATTTGACCTCTCAAGTCCTTATTTCTCAAATCTATGGGAAATAAAAATTGTTACTAATATATATCCTTGTCTCACTGAGTTGACATTTTATGGAGAATTTACTGTCAGGCCCAATGTGCAGAGATGTATAGAAACAGATATTCTTGGCCAATGTGACAGTAAAAACATGCATACCAGTTTGTCTTAATAGTCAGCATTTAAACTATTCTTATTTTCCAAAATAACTTCTAAGTCATTCTATCGTAAAAATCCAAACCAAGACTAGTTTCTAGCTAAAAGCTTAAGGGAAACTTACTCTTAAAGAGGCTTTCAACCTTGTTTTACAAAACATCAGTAAGCAAATGTCTTCCTGCCCATCTGACTCACGAGAAACGGCTATTTATTTCTGTCTGGCTCAACTGTCCAGTTTTGTTTTGTTTTTTACTTCTTACACGCCGAAACATACAAACCATTTCCTCTGAAAAAGTTTTGGCTTGCCATGTTGTAGTCAGATGTGTTTATTTAGTCTGAAAGCTGGTCAATCAGACTTGGAAGGCATATTTTATTTGTGATCAACAAAGATATAAAAGTCATTATGACTATCTACTGAATTCTAGCAAACAGAAACAGCAGAGAAGTCAAAAATTTAAAATACTGCCTTCTTTGGCTTTAGCGGCACAGAAACAAGCTGCAAATAAACATGTCAAAAAGCTCCCCAAACCTGATTTTCTGATTCTCCAGTCTGATAGTGAATAACAACATGACAGGGGAAAATCTAATGCTAAGGCACTATTGCAATTTATTTTTCAAACAGTAACTATAAACTTTATACTATTCTAAATTTAAAAGATTGGTCTGCAAAGCCCTGAAGAGCTCACTTCAACAAGCTCGTGGAAAATCTTCCAAAGAGAGCATGTAAAAAGATGGCACAAAGCCAATGGGTTTGACCCAACCTTACACGTGGGTTTGTGATTATATCCTCAGCATAAAGTTTCAATCCCTGTGATAATGGAACCTGGCCAGCCCTGAATATCTGAGGATCATTTCTAATAAGGTACTCTCCCTTAGAAGTGTTAAGTAGTAATTTTCCTATTGGTTAACCTAGAGTTAACGGAGATGCATATCTTTTCTCAGTTTGATGCTGTAGAAAGGACTGTTAGATGGGAAAGAGACATTTACTACTGTAAAGAAAGCAGATGTTGGACAAGGGGAAATCCAGAAGATAAGTGAAAACTTCCATGCAGCAGCAGAATTTGTGACATTATTTGTCAAATGAGCACAAGAAGGCAGCATAATATGATGGAAATCAGGGGGACTTGGAGTCAGGGAGACATAGGGGCTTAAATCCCAAATGCATCTTTATAATGATGCCATTTTGGGAAAGTGATGTCACTTCTCTGAGCCTCAATTTCACATGTGTAAAATAACATCTACCTGAAAGTGTTTGTTAGGGGGGTAAAATTAGAAAATGCTGTTAAATACATAACACAGAGCCTGGTATGTAGCGGGTACTGAAATATCTTCTCTCTCCTTCCCCCACTCACATCTGACAAATTCTTACCTTCCTCCCAGGACTCCCATAATCACCTCTGTACCCATCTTCTCCGAAACACTTTGCATATATATCACAGCACGTTCTTTCCACAACTGTATCCTGAAAAACAGATTCATATCACACGTGATTTTTCTCATCTGTGTTAGTCTATATCGCATTACACACTAAGAAGACAAAATTTTCTCAATGTTTTAAAATTATTTTAATTAATAGAACTTAGCAAAGAATGGTGTTTTTAAAAGGTACTTACAAGTTGCTTCAGTAAGATGCTTGGGAGGGATTGCAGTGTGATGCTCAGAGGTTGCTTATATGCAAACCCTCTGCCAAATTCCAGCTCCTGGAGCTCTTCTAATTTATGGACACCTTCCAGGCCAATGACTAGGAGTCCAGAGAATCCTTCACAATTTCAACAGGTGGGAGATTACTTTCATGTCTTTTGAATGGTCTGTCTTTGTCTTAGCCCCACATATTCATGCATTATCCCACCATTCCCATAGCCTTCACTTGTCATGCCTCAAATTTTGCATTTTGTACAGTTAAAGCTAGTTTGTGGCATGCCTTCTTGAAGAATTGGTCTCATACCTTTCAATCCCACCCATTGAAAGTTAAGCAGAATCACAAAGGACTCTCATAGCTCTCCTATAGCCCTCATTTTGTCATTTCACAGATGGTTTTCAGCCCTCATTGTATTAAGTTACATACTTCTAAGCCTATCTCTGAAGTTGACTTTTGGTTTACACTTAGGAATTGTGGCAGTCATTGTGGCTGCTCACAAATGTTCTGATTTCCCTTCTTAAGGGCACATGATAGGACTGCACTTCTTCAGTCAGGATATAAACACTCATTGAGCCTCAATTCTCTACCTGTGAAATATCTATCTTATGAAAGTTACAAATGACCGTATGGCTCACTCCAGCTAGTTAAATGTGAGCAGAAGTGACATGTGTTAATCCCCAGGATAAATTTTAAGAGTAGTACACAATTTGCCCCATTTCCTTTCCCTTGCCACAGTGATTACAAAAACAGCTGTTGGGACAGAATCTCTTTCAGCCTGAGTTCTTGAGTGGTGAGCAGGAGGTATAAGATGAATCTCTTCTTGTTATTTTAAGTCATTGAGACTTGGAGGTTGTTATTGCTGCATAATCTAGCTTATCTTACCAATGCAGGCATTAAGAGATCATCTGGATTTGTCCACAAAGCCAAAAGACAAATGAACAAGGGTATTTTGGAAATTCAACTAGAAATCACCTTGTTTGTCACATTTCAAAACAAATATTACTGTTAATAGTTTGAACAGCAAATTCTTGGCACGCACACACAAATAAGCTTTTTGCTATGGTAAACGAGCTGCTTGACAATTGTGTGGTTAAAAGTTTGTACAAATTGTTAATTATTCCTTAAAACTAAATTCTTTGAAATGGAATTGCTGATTTAGCATAGCTTATAAGCAAAGTTTAGTCTCTTGTTACATACCCCCAAATCCCTTCCAGAAACCATGCAACAATTTAAACTTCCAGTGACAATCTATGCAGTGAATTAAGATGGGAGCAAGGTGTCATAAAAAATATTCTAGCACATGATTAAACAATGGAAAACATCACCCCAGGAGAATATGTTGAATATACTCGGCTGAAGAGGAAAAATGGTGAAAGGAACTTCAGCAAGTCAAGTTGCTGGTTGTTCATCCTTATATTGCTTTAGAGCCTTTACATGGTACAAAGTGGGAATGGTGAGAGCCATCATGTACAGTTGAACAAGTTGTGCTGCACAAGAATGCCCATCTGAGAGAGCAAATGCATGCCCAAATCTAGCCAGCATACCCTCACCACCCAGGAGCCCAGGAACAGCCTTGCATCCATCCAGCATATTGGATGTCTCTCTCTAATTGCACAAAGATGCCATATGGACTAGCAGCAGGAGCCCTTGGAGATGGAGGAGGAAGAATGAAGAGTGAAGAGAGGAGAATTACAATGCAAAGAGCAGGGCCCAGCTTTAGACTGATTTCAGAGTTTAGGGGGAAATGACACATGGACCCCAGACTGGCCTAGAAGAAGAAACAGTTCCTCCCACCATTGAAGTAGGAGGTGTACCTTCAACCTTCCACCCTCAAAAGCTAGTCCTGTCTGAGTCAGAAGACTCCTGGTCAGTGTCAGGGACATTGTTGAAGAAGGCAGGGAGTCTCAGACCCAAAACATCCTCTGGCTCATACAAAGAAGGAGACCAGGTGTCAGCATCAAGCACACTGAGCTCCACACACTAGGTGAGCACGTAGGAAGCTTCATAGAGTCCAGTGCCATCTGGAGAGCTGAGTGCCTCAGCTCCAGGGAGAGGAGGGAGGCCCACACTGGGCAACCCCATGCCCTTACCTCTGCTGTGGAGAAACTCCGATGTTTTCTTCAGTCTCTTTAAATCATCATCCAGTCCATCCGTAAATACTAAAAGGACCTGTTTTTTATGAGAAAGTGTGGTGGCCGAGCCAGAGAGGGAGGGATGGAGAAAAGAGAGGTAGGAAGGAGGGAGAGTGGGGAAAGAGGAGAAAAGGAAGGTAATAAGAGAGAGAGCACCAGAGGAAAAGGGAAAGGGGGGAAGAAGGGAAAGAGGAGGGAAGGGAAGGAAGAAAGGGAAGGAGGGAGGAAGAAGCGAGGAAACAGAGGGGAAGGGGAGAAGGCACGCATAACATGGATATTATAAATTTTACATTTCTTTAAAATGTAAGAATGAGTTTTTCTGGTTATGCCCAGACTTTTACCCTGTTTCTTTTTACTTATTCTTTTATTACACATTCATCTTTATTTCAACCTCCCCATCTCCCTAGGGGAAAAAAAAAAAAAAAAAAAGATTTGAATCATCTGAACTTATTTAAAAATACCTTCCAAAAATGCTTACAATATTTATCCTTATCAACAAAAAATACCAAAATATTAGCAGAGTGCTGTGTGTGCACATGTGGTGCGTGCAATGTGGACAGGGGTGGAGTGGAGGGGATGTGGGGGATGGTTATTGCTATTTTCTGTTATACTTTGTAATGCATCATCTACAATTGAAATGTATTTACTTGCTCATAAGAAAGTTTTAATTTAAAACATGAATAAAAAATAAAACATGGATGATACTAGTCAAAAAATATATCCATTGGATGCATGACTAAAGGAAAAGCTAAATGTAAGTTATGAAGTTTGGGGATGTCGTTTTTTAATAAACATCACATAAACTCTTTCCATCTCTGTGGACTTCTGTGAGTATATAGTTCAGAGACAGCAGAATGGAGGAAGAGGCTTGGGGGTGAGCTATACTAAATAGCTGTCACTAAAGACAGTTCAAGATGCTGGCTGGAAAATAGCAACCCTACTTTAAATGGTAATGAGTGACCATAAAAAGCTAAGGACTCTTAAAACGCCATCCAAGGTGTCTTTGAAATGAATTTATGTTATGGAAGAATATGAATCACTAAACTGTGGGCAGCTTGAGAGCAGGGACTTTATTCTTATATTCCTATTAGCATTATTCAGCATAGAACCTCTATTGCTTAAAAAATACTTGTTGTTGAATGAAAACACATCTCTTGCTGGTTCTGATTAGGTAACAGTATGGTTTTCCTCTATGCAAGATCTCCAATGAAGAACAATTTAGTTGGCCTCAGTCACAAAGCCTTATCCATTCTACCCTACCTGATGGCTCCATAGCAAGAGTTCTCAGCATTTATTACCTTCACTTGAGCAGAAGAGAGATGAATAGCATTATCTCCCAAGGACTGCAAAAAGTTCACATCCATATAGCTATTCTTGGCAGCCTGATGAACCAAGAACTTCTGGATGATCTCATAACTGTATTTTTCAAAGCCAGAGTCAAAGATAAGTTGGCCATTTGGGCCAGGAACCAAGTAGCGGAATCTTGGGTTAATCTGATTGGAAATGCAGCTGATGTTAGAAAGCAAAGCCAACTGTTGCATCAGCTCTGGCAGTAAACCTTGAAGCTTCTGCTGAACTTGCTTTGAAGGAGTTGAGATATCAATTCCTACAGACAAATCCAGGTCGCATCCTTTGAAGGTGAAGAAAATAAAATTAGTCATCTACAGGTGTATAGCTGACCCCAGAAGATATAGCCAAGCTAGTCGTAAAAGACAAACCCCCAGCCAACCCATGGAAGTATAAGCTAAATAATGGTAGTTTAAGTTTTGGGATTGTTTGTCACACAGAAAAAGCTAACTGATACCATACATGCTGTTTCATACCTTTATGTCTCTGTAGATCCTATTCCATTCACCTAAACTGCATTTTCCCATCTTCTCACCCCAGTCTGGTCCTTCAAGTAGTAGTCAAGGGCCCACCTCACCCCACCCCGCCCCACCCTACCCCGCTCTTCAAGCACCCTCTGGTTTTTGTCCCCACTTCCTCACATTAAGTTATTAAATGCCCTGGCATGTCCATTGTTACTTTACTTGACCTTCTTCACTACTAAACAAGGATTCCTCAATAGTAGGGACTATGCCATCTAATTTTCCAATTGCCTAATACAGATGTTCATTAAATGTTTGACAAATCAATGAAGAAGGAAATATAAATGAGCCTTGAGTCTCTTTCAGCAATAACTGGAACTATTTCCTTCTTTCCTGAAAGTGTTTTTCCTCATTCACCACCCATGCCTATACCTTGTTTCAGCAGCATGGGAGCATATTAGAAAATGTCAGGAAAAAAAGTCACTCCCAATTTTCTGTTTTTTTCTGCCTAAAAATATTTAAGCCCTCTTAGGAAGGTTTTCTCTGGAATTTAAAGGCCCATTAATATTTCAGGCTATACCTATACACTTACCAGTGTATAATAAGATCATGCACAAAATTACACTGAGGACCAAAAGTTGATGGTCAGAGACACATCTGGGTTAGAATCTGGTTGAACGAATTAAAATGTAACAACCATGAAAGAGTACCTATTAATTACTTCTGCGCAACAAGCATAACTTAGGACTGTCCAAGGCAGTCCAGAACAGGCAGACATTTTCTCCTTAGACCATTACACACTAGAGTACGTGATCATGTAAGGATCTGTGTCTCCAACAGAATCTGTATACCTGTGTCGGAATCTGCAAAAACAAAACTGCAGATGGGGAGGAACAATTTGAGGAAAAATAAGTATGTAGTGGATCGTTCACTAGTGAAAAAGGTCAAGGACAGCAACTTAAAGTTTCCCAAAAACCTGAGATCAGAGCTGAGCCCATAAGCGTTCAATCCCCTAAATATCAAAGTCCATGCTAGCTGCTAAGATATATTCCTGGAATTGCCAAGACAGAAAATGCCTTCCTCTCCTCCTTTCATGTAAAATACCTTGGTTTTTTTTTTTTTTTTTTTTTTAATGTGTAATTCAAAGTTATAAAAATGAGCTTTCACAAATGTAAATCCCATTTCTATATTGGACCTAATCTTAGAAAAAAAGGAATTTCCTTTTTGTAGTATGGCATATTATTCCAACATTTCTGATTCACATTTTCACCAGGAACATTTCCAGCTGGCTCTTTTCTACAATTGACAAATGCAACAAGCAATTTATTTCCCTGTTAATGGAGAGGAATAAATCTTGCCAGGTAATCTCTAAGGTCTTTTTCAGCTTTATGATTCTCAAGTTCTGTAATTAATTAGAGTCTAGCCCTTATTAAAGTGTCTAGCTAATTTCATCAAAAAAGTTAAAGAAAGTTGAAGATAAACATAAATCCTAACTTACTATATGGGGCAAAATAAACTGAAAAGAGAAGCTGGAATCCTATATCTCTTCTTCTCCCCCAGTGTAATACCCACCCGCATATAGACAAAAAATAGGACTTTGATGCCTAAAAAATCTGAACTACTTAATGTAGGACATACCATAATTCATGTTTCTTTTAAAAATAATTATACATGTATATTTTTGTCAGATGATTTTCAAATTTGGCTAGACCACTGCAAAGTAGTTATATTCTTTAGTCAATATAAGCAAAGACAATAATTTAATGTCCTAGAAAATTGGGCTTCAAATGTTTTGGTGGGATGCAGGGTTCTCATCCTAGTCCTCCAAAATTAAGCCTCTGTTTCCAAAATAAGACCTGGCCCGGGCCAGTCACGGTGGCTCTAACCTATAATCCCAACACTTTGGGAAGGCAAGGAGAAAGGATTGTTTGAGTCTAGGAGTTCAAGACCAGCCTTTATAACACTAGGAGACTCTGTCTCTACATAAAATTTAAAAACTAGCTGGTGTCCACTTGCTTGTGGTCCCAGCTAGAGGTGAGAGGACGGCTTGAGCATGGGAGGTTAAGACTGCAGTGAGCCGTAAACATGCCACTGCACTGCAGCCTGGGTGACAGAGTGACATCCTGTCTTAAAATTTAGAAACAAAACAAAATCAACAAACAAACAAACAGCTTGGCCCAAGTAAGGCCTGGCTTCTCACAGAGAGGTTTCATAGGCATACATAATGCTTAGTGGTTGGACTTTGGGCACCCAACTACTGGGGAATTCAAACCCTGCCTCTATTACTTCCCATCCATGTTTCTTAACCTCTCCCTGCTTGTTTTTTATTTTTCATCTGGAAATTGGGTATCATAATGATAGCATCTGCTTCACATGGGTTTGATGTGGACATTAGATGAATGTATGCCATCTAACGCATTAGAAANAAAAAAAAAAAAAAAAATGAAAAAAATAGTGCTACACACATAATGGAAAAAAACAAGTAGGAATGTTGATTGTGCCCCACCTAGAGCCTGCTCTGCCTTTAGAGTGCCAGTTAGATGGAATAAAACGTGTCCTTCTTACTTGAGTTTTCTATTACTTATAGGTAAAAACATCCAACCTGATAAGATGATTTTTCTTAAAATACTGCTTTTTATCTCAGACTTGCTGTGAGAAATCAAATAAAATAAAGGATGAGAAAGTGCTCTGTAAATGTCAAAAGCCCATATTCTGCCTCCCAGCAGAAGGTGTGGCGGGACCTCATCAAGAGGCACACAGTTAAGTAAGTGCATAGAGATGAGTAGCCTCCTATTAGCAGCCTAAAACTACGAAAAAAAAAAAAAAAAAAAAAAAAACAACCCTTCTAGATCCAATTAAATGCACATCTATTTAGGAACATAATAACAAAATGATCTCCTGTATGCACATGATCACTTGAAGGAATTTTGAGCCTTATCGGTTCTATTATATGTTCTTTGATATGCTATATTATACGACATTACACCATTCTATCACATTCTGTGCTATCCTGTAATACACCATACCATACATATTGCTATTTCACTATACTGTGCTTTATGATGCTTCATTGTAGTAGACTATACTATCCTACAACTCAAAGTATGATGAGGACCTGCAAAATCTGCATCACCTGGGAGCTTGTTAGAAATGCAGCATGCTGATCTGCTGAATTCAGAATCTGCATTCTAACAAGATCCCTAGATGATTCAAATGTGTTTAAGTTTGGGAGGTCTTCAATCACCCGCTGAAAAGCAAGTCTTAAGGAAGAAAAGTGGACTCAGACCGTCAAAGGAACAACCCCTGCCTTTGGGCCTTGCTGCTTTGGATAAAGACTTGAGAAGATGGAATGGTATTAAGGATGACATTGGCCATATGGAAGATTGGCAACAAAGCAGATATATCCCTGTACAGAGTCTCATAGAGAAAACACTATATTCTATTTCAAAAGAGAAACTGTCTAACTGACATTATTCTCCCTGCTTCTGTTTCCCTCTTGACATGGCCAAACCTTCAGCAAGTTGTGTTTACACATTCCAATCTGGTTTTGTCTATGCTACAAGGAATAAAAGGAGGAGTGTGAGGATTTCCTAGAGACAGAGTTTTAAGAAGTTTCAGGCCTTCAGAAGCCAAAGTGGTGACAACCATGGGAATGATTAAAAGAATCCCCAGGGGAAGGTAAATAACAGCATCAGGAGTTCAGGCCCTACAGGGTGATCTCCTGCTCCCCTCCTTGACTAGTTAGAAGGATCAGATTTTTACTTTATTAAGAAAGCCAGGCCGGGCGCAGTGGCTCAAGCCTGTAATCCCAGCACTTTGGGAGGCCGAGGCGGGTGAATCACGAGGTCAAGAGATCAAGACCATCCTGGTCAACATGGTGAAACCCCATCTCTACTAAAAGTACAAAACATTAGCTGGGCATGGTGGCGCGTGCCTGTAATCCCAGCTACTCAGGAGGCTGAGGCAGGAGAATTGCCTGAACCCAGGAGGCGGAGGTTGCGGTGAGCCGAGATCGC